CAGCGAGTTTCGAGCGCGGGAAGCAGCTCTTCCAGCTTCTCACTCCTTCCCACGCCAGTTTGTCCCCACTCTCCGTCCCCCAGCGCCGATCTGCGTGCGCCGATCTGCGCCGCAGTCCAGCAGGTCAGTGACCTCGCGGCACAGCACGGAGCCACTGCCATAGGTGATGAGCTGTACCAAATGCCCCACCTGCGGCGGTCCAAGGTGACGCGGGAGGCGGGGAGTGCGGGGAGTGGGGGAGTCCCTGGCTGAAGTGGTTTTTCAGGGAACATGGACATGAAAAAGAACAGAAAGCTGCTTTTCCACTACCGTAAGAACCCCTGTGTGCCCACACTGTTTGGGGAACAACTAGTTTGGTGTGAAGACTCAGGATGTTCCCTGAGGCTTGTTTTGTTGTCATGAATCTAAGTAGCTGGAATCAGTGCTCCTGCAACATATCTATGGAGATGTTCCAACTACAGCTAGCTGGCTCCAAACACATAGCTGGCCCTCTGCTTTGCAAACGGGCCTTTGCCTGAGACATGGTTTGTCAGGCTTAGCTATGTCAGCCACTACAGTAGAGGAGGACAATCTCAAACCAAAGGCTCCTCAACCGCATCATCTGGCAAGCCAAATTGAAGAGGGTTGCTACCAGCTGTTTCCGTTCGGGGTCACCTGGCTGGATATCTCCACACGACTTAAAGGTCTCCAGACAGGGCACCCCGACAGGAAGCGCTAGGTAGGTTAGGACTTGGGGCATTGGGGCCCTGGCATCGGCATGACCACCCCCCGGTGAAACCACACAGGCTACGAGTAGGTAGACATCGCGAATTGGAGTGTCGGGATGCTATGCAAATGATGCCCAGACACGACCAGTCTGGGACTGCCATGTCGGACTACCTTCAAAACGGCCGTTCGGGGTGGTGGGTGCCAGGGGGGTCTGGCGCCAGATCGGCAGTCCGACATGGCAGTCCCATGGAGTGTCGTCGTGTCTGGGATGGTGATGAGGAGTGTCTGAAACTTGTTGCTTGTCGAATGAGCAGTTTGATCAAGTGATATCAAGTGGAAAATGGTAAGTGGGGGCCCTCACACGGGACATCCACCTGCATGGTACGAGATCTCAACACTAAGATCACTCACCCAAACACTCCATCTATTGCATATTTGCCGATCAGTTGGGGTGGTTTCAGGGATCAATGTAGGTCTATATACCAGTCCCACGCGTGTTTGGGTAAGATCCGTGACATTCTTGCCTTTGTTACAAACAATGGATGGCCCCTGCCCGGAGTTGTGAAGCTCAGTCAAAATCCGGAACTCTTTTTTGGAGGATTTCTCATGGTTTACATATGTTTAAATCATGTTAAATCCAATCATTCAAACGAACATATAAGAGCAATAAGATGTAATAAGAGATGCCCTTTCTAGAGGACACCCAAAGTTGTGCCATCAGGCCTTTGCCATGCCATGGTGGAGTGTTGCGGGTCACTGTGGGTCAAAACCACGACACCTTGGTTGACCTACCGACGTCACTTGCGCATCCAGTCTGGCGCTTCCCATGGTCCTTCATCAATGGTGGGTACCAGGGAGTTGGGGTATATAACCGTACCTGGAAAGTCGTTCATTTCACTACATGGTGTTGGCTCCAGGTTTTGACTCACAGCCAAAAAGTTCCAGAGGAACCTCCTCATCCAAACCCTTCCACTGGCGCCTCTACGCTGGTGCTAGGCTTGTAGCCAGTCTCCACTGCTGCCCCGCAGCCCTTACAGCCTGGGTCATCCAAGAGATTTGAACTTCAAGAGCGCTCAGTAGATAAACCTTCTTGAGCTCATTCCTTGGGTCTATCATATTACCAGTAACCGTGGATGATGGTTAGCAAAAGGCCGTGTTCGAACATCGTGTCGATTGTGGTTCGGATCGTACAGACTCAACTCATTCCCAACGACTCCGTGCCAGGATGACCCCCCCAAACAGGGAGACAATCATGTGAATGTCACTTTGCTGGTTTGATCAGATGAATTTCGGCCGGAACCTTCAACAAAAACTACATTTGCCAGATCTTAACGCATGTGGGGACCCGTGTCTTTTCGTCCATGTGGTGTCCATCTCGTCCCACGAACCCGGTGGACGTCGTCCCACTAACCCGGTGGAAAGCGCCAAGGGAGTGAAGAGAATGGGTGTCCGGTGCGAAGGATGAAACACCGAAGAGTTCCATTTCGGGAGGTGAAACACCATGTCGGTGCCCCAGTCAGGTTTCGTTTGGTAAGTGTGCTCCTTTCGTCATTCAGGTGAAAACCCCCTTTATAAGTGGGGTGAATGGGGGGCTCATTGACCAAGCATGGAGTAGGATTGTAATTGTGAGGAATTAACGCTTCCAATGTTGTTCTCGGGACGTTGAAGATGGTGGTGGCAGCAGTAGGTGGGTGCCAAGGGGAGCTTTGTAGAACTAGCTTATGAGATCTTTTGAGGATGTGTTTGGTGCCCGAAAAGGAGCTGCAGCTATTTAATACCTGGCCAAAACAAAACCTCCAAGAAGAACTAAAAACTCTGGACACAAGATCATCAAACCATCATCCTCTGAAGCAAAAGGTTGCTTCCAACATGTCTTCTCCAAAGTCCATGGTTCCAAGCAAACCATTCCCAACATTCTGCCTCAGTGCACCTGAGTGCACCAAGGTTTTGCAGGTACTTGTCCCCTTTTCCGGGTAGGCCGACCAAAGCAAAATGCCAACACCAAACGACTGTCGACCACCACACAGCTCCTCCGGTCCACCGGCCTTCGGCAAAGACCACCAGTTCGGAGCTCCCCGTGTCCGGGATGGCGCGGAGCTCCTGGATCTCGCCGAGAGCGGCGCGACCGCGAGGAACGGATGGTTCGACCCAACGGGTGAAGACGGTCCGGGTGCGCGGAAGGACGGGTGTTTGGAGCGAAGAACAAAGGAGAACGGTCCTGGTGGGCCAGGCCTAGGCGTCCTGACGGCGTCCTGGAGTGAGGTTTGGAGATGTGTGGAGGGTCCAGTTTTTGCGGTCAGGTCTAGGGATGGTCGGTTTCTGGGAAAAGGGAACATAAAGAGATCAAAAACACAAACCATCATGGCAGGAGTTCCAAGAAGCATTGAAACCTTGATTTGTTTTTGTAAAAGATTTGCAACTAATATTCAAGGAGTTCCAAGTTAGGGTGGTTTATGGATCAAGGCGTTATAGATACTTTGGGAGTTTGTTGGACCTCAAAACCGTGGAATGGTTGATTGGTCAGCTCTATGGTGTCTGACCATCGCACCGGCTGCCGTAAGAGGGCATTGACCAAGGCCTATGAGGGCGATTCAAATAGTGAGACCTCCCTGGCGTCCGGGCTTGGTTCGCAAAATAAACTGGTCGTCTACCGTCTATACCCAGCCAGGGCCACAAGATCTCCCCTTATAATATAAATATATATATACCAGTAGTCACAAAGGGGTGCTTAATGGAGGTTCGGAGTGCCCATTATCCACTCACTGGATGGGACCAAACACCACCCCGTCTTGTGACTGCTGGTAAGTAACTCTCCTGCCCACAGACTGGCCAAAAAGTACTGTCGACAGGTCAGTCGAACTGGTCGGTGAGATGTTTCGGACTGTCTCACCCAGTCATGTCGACCGGTCATGTCTACGCAACACTTTTCCCTTTCCACCGCCAACCAGGAAGGCTAAAAGTGGATCTGGATCGCAAGTCATGATTGATGTTTGATGATGTTTGTGTAGTGCAATTCATGTCATGCTCATGTCCAGTCTTTTCTGTCTTAACTGCTATTGTCCATTGTCGTGTCCCCCGGCCACCAGACCACCGGCCGCTGTCAGATCCACAGGCGGCACCTGCTGCCCACAGCGGACGCTGGCCGTGTAGATCGCATCGTCCTCGTTGCGCAACACTTGGTGGTACAGGCCATTCGCGGCCTGACAGCGATCGGATCCGAGTGCGTCCAGCACTACGGAGTTGGGGTTGATAGAACCCCCCGTATGAACCTACCAGCACCCTCCAAGGCTGTTAGTTGAGGGTTGTTGGACCCTAACAGGTCTCAATTGGTGACCTGTAGAGTCGGGTCCCGGTATATTGGGTCTACAGTCTCTCTTTCTAGTCCAACCACCCCAACTCCGCGCTCCGTGGTGGAAGACGTTTGGGTGCTTTCAAATACAATATATTGTAAAGCAATGTTTGTGTGTTTGTTTAAAATCCGGTATGATCTCCTCATCTCTTTTCACCATATATGACCATATATAGATCCGGCATGCCAGATGATCCGATCGATCGATCTTCCGAGACGACCACGTCGAGCGCCAATATGCGAAGGGCGCACCGTCTGCAGCTGCACAGCCGTCTGCAGCAGCCAATCCGCGTTGGGCTCACAGTGTTCGGTAGCCAGCAGCGGCACCACCAACAGCACCGAGTGAAGGGCACGCATGGCACCCATGCGTGGCGGGGGCATGGGGCACGGCTGCTTTGGCTGAGTGAGAAAGATTGGAAAAAAGAGCCTCAATGGACCAACCACGGCTCATTGATTGCTATCTTCCCTTTGGGAACAGTTGCTCAATTGGATGCAAGGGTCCCTACAATGATGTCATGGTTTGCTCTGAATGGGGTGCATAAACCTAGGACCAAGCATGACCAAGCAAATAACCGAACTGTTTCCTGAACAACAAGCTCATCATCTTTCCCAACCTTGCATGTGGTGAGAAAGTGTGTCTTTTAGCACACCATCAAAAGGCTTGCATCTCTTACCCACCCTCAAGAGCTTCCAAATCTGTTCTTCATATAGGCTCTTTTTGGGCCCAAATCACTGCAATGTCTGTCGATGGCAAATGCAAATTAAATGCAAGGACCAGGACCATAATCCACTTTCACCTTCATCAAACAGCGTCCTCTACGAAACAAAAAAGGTTCACCCACCTTCATCCAACTGTCCTCTTTGGCTGGTTCCTCTCTTTGGAAAGCTGCCCTGGAACTTTCAATCTATCTTTTGGGCTTGTCTCATTCAGACCATGCAATATTTAGCACAGTTTCCGGACACACCATTTCTGCTTCTCCATCTGAAAGCCATCCGCCCATTTCTCTGCTTCCCCAAACACCCCGGCTCCTTCGCCTTCGCTTCGAACGCGTCGCCGGTCATCGCGTTCGCCCCCACGAACGCGTTCGAAGTCCGACGTCCGGCCGCCTTCGACAGCGTGACCGATGCCCAGCTGGGCAAAGGAAGAGATGGTGCTCAACAAAGTGGCCTCACCAGTCGCCACGGGTGAAAGAATAGCCCACTCGGGTGTGACCAGATCACGTCAGAATCAAGATCGATCGATGTTGGGCAGTGGGGAAACAAAGGACGATTTGGGGGACGGCCACAATGTGTCCACAAAAGCTTAATTGCAAACTAATGCAAATGACTAAGGTCATCTGATTGAGGGTGGTTGATTTTCAGGGGTCAATGGGGTGGCATATATAATAATAATATAATAACAGGGTTATATTCCATGGAAAGTTCAACTCACCAAACAAACTCCTGCAACTATACGTCCACTTTGAGGATTTGTGGAAGCACCGGTTTCCGAGTCTTCTGTCAGACCGGTTTATGAACATGGTCTTTAGGCCTGGCCGCCCTGGTTCGTCCCGCGACGGTGTTACCCGGGTTCATTCCCGGCCAGGACCATTCGTTGTGGTGGGTAGTACGGTCTGTCAGCTGTCTGCCCAAATGCTCCTGGATTGTCCACCGACGTCGAGGTCACTCCTTCTGGGGAGAGAGGGATCTAGTCGTACCGAACCTCAGGAAGTACTTCTTGAACCCTCCTGGCACCCTCCGCTCCGGCGCCACGATCGGAGCCATCACCTGGTGGAGCCGCGCAAAGCTGTCAGACTTCAAGGCTTTCTTCTCCTCCTGAGTCGGACGTTGGAAGTCTGCAAGAACGAGCCGCTGGTTGGAAACCCGCGCCGTTCGTTTCACGAACATGGAGGTGTCCTTTTTTGCACCTGAGACATCCTCAGACGTGGTTTTTTAGTTTTGTTTTTTCTGTGTGTGATTTCAAAAACAAACTTCGAAGATGTGTTTTTTTGGGGGGGGTTTTACATGCATGGTTTCTATGTCCATGTCCAATTGGTATAACATCCAAATCACAAAGCGTCCCACCAGCCCACCCACTCGGAGAACCACTCGATCTGGCTCCACCCCAATGAAACCACTGGATTGGGCATGGTGGTTGAATTCAAAACAGGGGCAGGTAGTCATCAAAACAGTTGAGCGATTTGTTCATCGTTTGCCAGTAGGTCCACCATGATTATGATTGTTGTTACCTGGTTCTTTGAATAGCTTTCACCAAAACATCGGATACGCACCTTGCTCTTGGCTGCGCCACGTCTCTCAAGGCTCCCGTTGGGCGCGTCCGCCGCCCCCCCGGTCGATCCAACCTCTGAACGGATGTGCACCGCAAACTTCTCTTTGACCGAGGCCTGGGCGCGCCCAGGTCACGCGACCCGAGTCCGCCCCTGAATCCGAAGTGGTCAGGGGTCGAATGGGTCGAAGCAATCCCAAAAGGTTTTGGACCAAGGCTAAGAGCTGTGGGGTCGCGTAGACGGGTGCTACGTCTTCCGCGCGGTTCTGCCGCAAGCTGCTACGTTCGGACACAAGGTCGACGTTCCGGCCTTGCTGGAAGTACTTCCACTACAAAAAAGATGTTTGGGTTCTTTGCAAGTCTATACCTTCACAAATTCACAAGTACACCCAAACCACCCAAGAACCAGGAATTCAAAGATCGACTCTGAGCAGAATATATCAGCAACAGTTAACGCTTACAAAATCTTACAAACACAAAAAATAAAACATGCAACATCATGGATTTGGTTCCTTTCCCTGGAAAGACCCTTTTGCTCGCTACAAACAGTTGATTCTCCGCTCCTCGCTGGGCATCCCTGGCCCATCCAGTGCCTGCCGTTGGCGCGGTCACACCAAGGCCTGGGCGGTGGAGCCGCTCTGGCGCTCTGGTGGGCCCTCCGCAGGGGTCCGGGCCCGAACCAAACCCTATCCCAGACACGACCTGACTGCGCCGGACTGCCGATCCAGCCAGACCCCCCTGGCACCCACCACCCCTGGCCGTTTTGAAGGCAGTCCCATTAGTCGTGTCTGGGTATATTTGTTTGAGGGCCCGGATTCTAGGGTACAACATTCTCCAGAGCCCTGTGGCCAACCTGTGCCGAACAACTTGTAGTGAACAGTCTGTAGCTATCGTTGCTCATTCTCCCAAGCCGACACTTTTTTGGAGCATCTTCCCAAAAGGTGAAAGCAAATGATCCACTTTTCCTGGGTAGGGCTCCAAACGCAAGATCTGGACTGAACAACAAATAACCTGTCCTGGGTGTTTTGGTGGATATCTGTTTCGTCGATGGTTTGGCATAAGCTGGTAGTTGTGGTGAGTTGTTGTAGCCCTGTCTTTGTTTCTGTGGGGCAGTTGCATATATTTTGCTGCGTGCTCAGTCTGAGTGTTTTCAATCATATCTTTGAGGGTCAACCACAATCTCACCAGTCTTTGTCTTCTGCGCTTACACAAAATGCTAAGAATGCCAAGCAAATCCGTTGGCAACGTCAGCATCATCTGTTGATGAACATAGAATAGAATTGACGGTTTTCTGCCTTGGAATAGGGTTATCTCTAAAGAGTGACTGCATTCGTTGGGAGGTTTCCATTCACACACCGACCACACTGCTGACTAAAAAAATAAAGTGTCTCAAACGAAATCCAAGTTTGGAAATCATATCACAACAAACCTCACTTGACCGACCACTGTAGCTCCAGAACATATTTGGAACTCATTGTAGCTCCAGCTGTAGCTCCAGCAGTTCCAAAGAGTCTAGAGTTGCCCAGAACATCTACTCACTGGATGGGGCTAAAGGCGCACTGACATGGAACTGGTGGTGGTGGATGAAGTCTAAGTCCATGCGCTTCCATTTACAACTTAAAACAATCTTGAGCCTATGGTCAATGCATGTACATTGATAGTCTATATGATTTTTTCCACTCGATAATCCACATTGAATCGAACCCACGTTGTTCTTGAGTCCCAGAAATGTGTCAGAAAGAGTATTTGCTATTTGCAACCCGAGTAGCTGGAGGCCGCGGAGGCTGCAGCGTGGAGGGGATCCTGAAGGCTATAGGAGAAATCCAGCCAGTTCAGCGAAGATAAACTTGGATTTGCTGGTGTCGGAAGCCGAAAAAAAATGTATATATTCCCCATGCCAGGGGAATTAACCAGTTCGGGAAAAGAAAACAAATCGCCTGATATAAGCAAACCAGATAACCAGATAGATAGGAAGGGAGAAAACTTGAAGATGCAGACCTCAAATGCTCCGGTGATTTGTGAACTGTGGAGTAGAAAAAGGGGATCGCAACACTGACATTGACGAAATCCACCAACATATGTCTAGCTGTCTAGCTTAAAGCCTCTGTCTCTCTGGCCAAGCTTGAAACCTGTCTCTGGCACAGCTAGCGCCGCTACGGGGAACCTTTTTTTCCGGGCAACCCAAGGTGGTTCCATTGAAACAGATCAAGAAAGAACATGTTTTCGCATCCCTTTCACTGGCAAAGCGCAGTGCCTTGGCTGGGAAGTGTTCGCAAGAACATGCAAGAACCAAAACATCTTTTGGACGGTGGCACCGCTTTGAGGTGTGTGCTGTTCGAACTGTTGCCCATGTACGTCTGAACAGATTTTGCATGGAGAGAAAAAGGGAATCAATCCAAGTAAACCAACTCTTCTGCAGCTAAAGGTTGATGATGGAATTTTGCCAAGCCCAAGGGACTTGCAGGCTTGGCCACTTGGACGAATCGGATTCTCAACATTCAGCAAGGAGGGACCTAGCCACAAATTACAGGACTGTGTCCTTCCAGGTGACCATTTGATTCATTTGTCTGAAAGGTATCCCCACAAAACATCAAAAACGATCAGGAGACTGACTGTGCTTAGGGATGAGGGTGATGAGGGTGGCCGGATCCAATGGACTTTTCTATTAGAGGCTCATTCCCCCATTCCATTACAAAGCACTAGTCAAGACACACTTCCTGGAACTAACATGAATGCACAAAATTGCTAGTTTGTATCGTGGGGAACATGTTCTTCTAAGCACTTCCATGTCAGTCCCAGGGAGTGAGTGTATTCTGGTTCTGCGATGATTCTCTTTCCGACCTTCTGGGCCGAACCTTTGCTGGCCGGGTTCGGGTACCTGGTGGCTTGGACCAAGGATTCCAGGCTCCCTGAACATCTCCGCAACATCAATCACCTAATTCTACGCCCTGGAACCTGAACAGCACGCCCTTTTTTGTAGAGGACAAACCGTCCATGTTAACCACTACCCGAGTGGGCTCCGAGTACCTTCTGAGAAGGTGTTTCGGGTGGGTTTGGAAGGTCCAAATACCTTCTGGCCCTCTCCTGTGATGCTTTCAGCACACCTCGGCTGAGCCAAGGTGTGGCGAGCCGGCGGCGAGAGAGCGGCGTGCTGGGTAAGGAAAGCAGCCACTCAGAGTGAGAATGAATCCAACCAAAAACATATGACAAAACATTAGAATGCAAATGCATGCAGTGTACAATACCCAGACACTCCATGGGACTATACCTACATTGACCCCACAAACCACCCCAACTGATCGGCGTATATGGCAGTCCCATGGAGTGTCTGGGATACCTTGTCCTTGTGGGGTACGACCCGATCTTCCACTGTGAAGAACTTATCCACACGTAGCACGTGTGCAGCTTGGGTCTGGCGATCATCACTGTTCAGTGACCAGCCTCAAAACCACACACCAAAGACCAAAGAATATCGAACAAACAAATGCTTCATCGAATCCTGAAAGAATGTCTGATGATTCGTTTTGTTCATCCCAACAAAAATAAATAAAAAAATGGAACTCAGTGCAGTAAATACTCGTTGCCAGCCACACGAGCCACCACGTCAGCTTCACCCCTAAGATTCCGGGCCCTAGGGTTTTTCAGGGCCCGGACCCCAGGTGAGCCCTGCCATGCTGCCATGGAGGCCCCCCAACCCCCCCCGAATCGGCCCCGAACCACACGGCGTTGCCCGCCCACCGGCTGGTTCCAGTGCGAGGCACGTTGAGCCTGCGAAGGGGTCCGCAGTCCGGTCGAGGCAGGTGCGGGGGGACATCAACTCATCGTCACTCAACTCGTCAGTCTTCCTGTAGATCTTGGCTGGTTGAGGCCGTGAAGAAAACCATATGTAAATGGCCATGTTCTGGATCCATGGATATAGGGGATTGACCATAGGAACCGGGAAGAATTAGAACTTTATCATCGATCCAGATCGATCCGCAAAACCAGGTATTGGACTACCTGTCAGAAACACGCCAAGAGTCGACACCATTGGTGAAAAAGGTCAGGAAATTCAGATTGAAAAGCATTCCTTCTGAACTTCTGACGGGAAGAGCACCTATACACATTATGTCACATATATTGATACATATTGCATGGTTCTGTTATTGCTGGCAAATATACGTGGCTCACAAGCTGTACATCTGGCTCACTGTCATACCCCGCATCTTCAGATCTGAAATGATCTGAAGCACCTGCCTGCTACCCTTAGGCTTTTGCCTGCTATAGCACCACCGCTCTGGCCCGGCACGAACGGCCCGGCGTGCCGACTCGGAACCGGCGCCTCCATCCCGAGTCGCCGCCGCAAGGACGCCAGGCCCGCCGCGAGGCCCGAGTAGATCTGACGTGGACGACGTTTTGGTGGAGACGGGACGAAGGACGTCGATACGTCCGAAACACGGACCGTGGTGTTCGACGATTGGGGTTTCGTTTGTGTGTTTTTGGGGGGTGGGTGGGTGGGTGGGGCTGGGTGGGTGGGTGGGTGGGTAGGTGGGTGAGCGTATTCGGAAGGAAGGGGATTGTTCTCCATTCTTTTCGCACGGGAACTGGGTGGGGGAGTTGGAGCATTGCCAATCAGAGACGC